AAGACTTACTATTAGCTCTGGAAGGGCCCGAGACACAGGATTTGATATTATGACATTATGAGGACATTTTGATATCTAGAAGAAGTATTTTAGGTTATTTTTAAAGGATGTTATGGCTACCTCTGGGTTTATACAATTGGACTCAAGGTAACTAAGTCACCTGGATTTACAGGTAGAAAGATAAATAAAAAATTCCCAATGGTGTTTTTAAAATAAAACATTTCTAAAATAGTTTTTCGGTAATGTGGCATATACATCATATGATAGTGTGGTTAAAAGTTTTACTGGCTCTCATTTAGGATGGCCTGCATAGTTCACTCAGGTCTCTACTACTTGTGAGCAAATACAGTCAGCTAAAACTCATACAAATAAAAGCTTTACACTTCCTCACCTTTTCCTATAATATATGCCAGTAATATATGAAAAAATACAGTGTATATTTTCTTTACAAGATTAAAATTAAATAATTGCTCAACTTTTTACAGCTAATATCTGCATATGTTTATTTTTAAAAAGAACTGACAAGCTGAAAGTAGATGTTTGTTGGTAAAGGAAAACTCAAATGGTTTTAGAAGATTGAGTTTGAAATTCATATAACTTAGCGCATTAAGCAGATTTATCACAACATTTAAAAATACCACATACTTTGCCTGCTTTTCTGTTTCCTCATCAACTTAATGAACAGGAGAAAACACACCTTCACTGTTGTCTGACGTAACAAGTACATCCCCTTGGAAGGGCTGATGTGTTCAACTGACATGTTGTTATAGATCAAAATAATGCCTGCACCATTTTGTTGTGGAAGCCAGAAACAACAGAGTTACTTGCAAATATAAATGTGTGCCATTAAAATATTACCTGCTGACCTCTATAGAATTGGTCAGCCAGAGGAAGCAAAGGTAGGGCTAAGTTATGAAGCGTTTTAAAGATAAAGACAAGAATCTTGTATTTGATGCACAGGTGAAGAGGGAGTCAGTGGAAGGACACAAAGAGGGGGATGACGTGGTCACAGAAATGAGCCAAGAAAATTATTTTAGCAGCAGCATTTTGAAAAAGAGTTGAAGGGAGCAAGTTTGCAGTATTCAATGCCAGAAAAGAGGAGGCTGCAATAGTCAAGATGTGAAATGACGAGGGCTCGGACAAAAGTTTAGTTGTGTGAGCAGAGGAAAAGCCATGAAATGTCATGAAAGAAAAAGCAGCAAGCTTTAGAAAGGATCTGAATATGTGGGTCTAGGTGATAGGGCGAAGTCAAAGTTGACACTCAAGGTACATGCCCGAGTGAAAAGGACTGTGGTGTGGTACACAACGATGGCAAAAGTGTAGATAGAAGAGAGATTGAAAAAAGATTAATAACTCAGTTTTGGACGCGTTTCCTTTAAGAAAATGACTGAACATCCAAAAAGATGTCAGAAAGACAGGCAAGGGAGATAATTCATCAGTAGAACTGAAGATCTGCATGTCATCACACAAAGATGGTAGTTAAAACCATGCTTGCAGTTAAGAGCAGATAGAGATGGGAAGAAGAGGAAGAGACTAAGGACAGAGTTTTGAGGGTCACCCACAGACAGAGCATGTGGGGGTGTGGGGGCAGGAGAATGACCCATCAAATGAGACTCTGAAAGAGTAATCAGAGAGGTAAAAGGAGAACTATGAGAGGACTGAACCACAAAAGCCAACAGAGGACAAAATTTCAAGAGGTAGGGAGCAGTCGATGGTGTCAAAAGCCACAGGGAGGTCAAGGAAAATAAAGGGCTGTTCTACACTAATGCTGTAAGTAAGTCACACTACTTCAGTTATGTAAGTTACGTAACTGAAGTCGATGTAACTTAGGTTGATGTACAGCGGTGTCTACACAGCACTATGTTGACGGAAGATGCTCTCCCACCAACTTACCTTCTGCCTCTTGGGGAGGTGGAGTACAGACGTTAATGGGAGAGCGCGCTGCCATTGACTTAGCTTGTCTTCACGAGACCCGCTAAATCGACACCACTGCATCAATCGCAACAGTGCCGATTTAGCCGGAATTGTAGACAAACCCAAAGACAGAATACAATCCATGAGATTTGACCAGAAAGAGGTCATGAGAGACTTTAGTGAGAGCAGTTTCAGTGGAGTGTAGAGGATGGAAGGCAGACTATAGGTGGTCAAGATGGAAATTTAAAAACTCCAGACAGTGGTTGCAGAAAGCATGTTCAATTAGTGTGAAGATGAACAGGAGAAGAGACACTGAGTATTAGTGGGGGAAGAGTCCAGGGTGGTTGTTTTTGTTTTTTAAATAGGGAAGACCAAAGTATGTTTGTACTGGGAGAAAAAGGAACTGGATGAGAAAGACAGGTTGAGGAGAACACCAAAAGAGGGAATGAGAGCAGAGCTGGGAAAGTTACAAGAGGAGAGGAGATGGGGTCACCTGGGCAGAAAGAGGGGTTGGAGGAGCAGGGCAACAGTGACAGAGGTGAGTGCACTATGGATATAGTGGAAAAAGTGGAGTGGAGAAATCCCTCTGTATCTTACTGATTTTTTTTCTTTGAAGATATCCCCAAGATTTTTTATTGAAAGTGAGCAGGAAACAGGAGGGTGGAGGTTTAAGGAAGGAGTCAAATGCAGTGAAAAAGTATTTGGGATTGTAGGTGCAAGACGCACTACGAGGAGCAAGAAAGCTGTTTGGCTAAGAAAGTGGCAGAACTAAAAGAGGAAAAAGAGTGAATCTATAGTGAAGAAAGTCGGTGTGACTGCAGGACTTTTGTCAGAGATACTCAGCAACAGGAGAACAAGAGTATAGAAAATAGCTATTTAGGTGTAAGGCAGGGCTGAGAGATGATTGTGTCATGTGTGCTGTATTTCCTGATATGAGAAAATTAAGGAGCCAAGCAGGATATTCTGGTAATTTCCAGAATGAAGACTATGATACACATGCCTGAAAGTCAGAGATTTTATATATAGACACAAAAACCTATTTTATATGTATCTTAAAATATGGCCTCTCTCAAAAGAACTGCTGCATTTGTATTTAATAGTAACGTGGACACACAAGGTATGATAAGAAAAAAGTCCTATTAGCAAAGTAAGAATCTGCTCTTAGCCATGGGAATTATATACAGAACTGCAATAGAGCTGATTTTATAAAAGCCAGCTAGTGATTTTTATATACACACATATATTACAGCATAATGTAGTTTTCAAGTATAAACTAATTTTACATCTAAACTTAGCCTTGCTACTTCAAGGTAGAGGGCATGAGCATAAAAATTTAAAGCTAGAACATTAGGGAGAGTTTGTTTTCCTCTGAATTGTGATTGTGTAAGGACAAGTATCTTCTATAGATCTGCAGACTAAAAGACTAGACAGTTACACTTTTTAAAAAAGGAAGTAATGCATACAAATATACTAAAATGTGCAATGTTCTCAATTAAAAAAATAAGGTATTTTCACTGTCAATAAGTGCTTTCCCTGATCCATGTCAAATGTGCGCTAACTACTTATGCTAAACAATCTGTTTCACCTTGCATTTAGCTGTGATGTTCAGAGTACCTTTACCAGACCTGAAGAAGAGCGCTGTGTGGTTTGAAAGCTTGTCTGTCTCACCAACGGAGGTTGGTCTAACAAAAGATGTTACCTCACGCATCTGGCCTCTCTAAATTCATTGTTTAGGCAACCTAAAAGCTCTAATGAACACCTAAGGTTGCCCCCTTATGGTACAGGCTGTAAGACAGAGGTTATACACCAAGGTCTGTGCTTGATCAGCTCTGCTAGTAGGAATTAGATGCATCTTTCTGTAACATATCTATTCTCTCTAGTGCCACCTCCCAGTGCTGAGAGGATGAACACTTAAGTATGATGCAGTCAGAGTTTAATATTTGTTCATAATTTACAAACACAAAAGATCACAGGGCAAAGGATTCATTTTATGGTTCCTATCTTCTTGCATGCTTAAGAGCAATCAAAAAGAACAGGAGTACTTGTGGCACCTTAGAGACTAACAAATTTATTAGAGCATAAGCTTTCGTGGGCTACTGCCCACTTCTTCGGATGCATATAGAGTGGAACATATATTGAGGAGAGATATAGACGCAACTACAGAGAGCAACAACACCTGTACCTG